TCCAAGGAGTGGCTGGTGGGTTTGAACTGCCAGCCTTCTGGTTAGCAGTCAAGTGCCTTAGGTACTACGCTACCAGAGCTCCCCTTCTACCCATTAGCCCTTTCATACTTGAAAGATTAATTTGCCCCTCCCAATCACATTAGCGGTCCCAAGGTCATTAACAATAGTCTTTCATTAAGGCGGAGTCCTAAGGGTGAGATTATTCAGATACCAGCCATTCAGCTCTGCTGTATTTGTCCATCTGATCCAGAAGTTTTTCTCATTATCATCCTTACGGTATCTGATAATATAACTAAGATAACATTATTCCCCTGTTCTGAGTCTATCTTTAGGTATCAGCATAATGTTGGATCCCCCCCACTGCATAACCCATTTACTCATTCCTTTACCTTCAGCTATTATTTCTCCTTCCTTCCATTGTCTATTTTTACCCAGACTTTCTTTCCCACCTTGGGAGGGGACATCAAGTTCAGCTGATATGCCTATCCAGATTGCTGGTAGCAAGATCAGTCTAGCAATTGCTTACCCCTCAGTCCACGCCCATGCATGCTGGGTATGGCTACATAGGTACAAATCTAGTGGAAAATCTCAACCACTGGGCAGGACCGTAGCATTCCCTGTCAGCCCCAATTTGGCCAGATGGGGAGAACCATCCCATAAGGCCCTGGGTAATTCTGGCATACAAGTTCAGAGGTATAGAAAGAATTTCTTGCTTAGGGATTACCCCAGCCTCCGGCACCCACAGCCACATCCCAGGTCCAGGGAACACAGCTTCTGGCAGGAAGAAAGCAACGTTAGGTGATGTGGGGAAAAATTGTACAGTGGCGCCAGCATTCTCCCCCACCCCTTCTTCACCAGATCCCCCAGAAAAGTGAAGGAATCTGTCGAGTCATGATCCTCACTTCACCCCCTGAAGTTGAGTGTGAGCACACATTCATGAAGGCGTGTGAGCCAGCCCTTTAGGCCTTTATCTATTTGTTTGACAACGAATGTTTCAACTGCCCATTCCAGTTCTCTATCAAACCATTACTTTGAGGATGATATGCAATATGGTATGTCCACTTAATATGATGTTTTTTGGCCCATTGCTGGCCCCTATGGGATGTAAAGTGCATTCCTTGGTCTGAGGAAATATAACTTGGTGGCCCCGATTGGTACAGCCATCTTTTGTCCAGTCCTTTCATGATGTTTTTTTTTGGCATTTGCATCTGTCATAGGATAAGCAAAGCCCAGTCCAGAGTAAGGATCTATTCCTGTGAGGACCCATTTAAAGCCACCTGGATCCGCTGGTGTCATTGGTCCTGTACAATCGACTCTCCAGCTACGT